GGCAGTTTCAGATTTGGCAGCCGTGTTTGGCTTCGTTGTTAGTCGCGTTCAAGCTTCTCGTGGGTTGGGCTTACCTTGCCTGTTGGGATATCGAGATCGAGTCCCAATCCGATTCCGTCCGATATACGCAAACAATAAGGGAAACATGTCATACTTTGCTCACAAATCACATAGTGCGTGTGGGTACGAAAAGAAGGCAAGATACTCCCGTTATTTCAAAGAATCACATAGTAGGCTATCGTCCCTTCCTAAGAGGTGGGTGTACGGGCCAATAATAAGGTGAGTACGTCAAATAGGATTGTGGTCATGCTGAGTGCGCAGTGACCGTGACCCTACTTTAAACATGCATACGACGTGCCAAACCCATTGCTACAGATGAGGCGTGGGTTTTGCATAGACATCGGACATAATTTCGATTTCAAGTAGAGATCTGACCTAGATTGGTTTGGTTATCTCATAAGCTTATCTATCACTTTTTCGAATTGGTGTTTACACCGAGATGGTGAGGCTATGACAGTCTGGAAGTGATACTTGGTTGGTTTTAGATCTAAAGAAAACTAAAAATTTGGCTAAGAAATCCCCACAGACGGCGCCGAATTGTTTGACCAAAAGGTATCAAGATCTTTGGGTTAAACCAATTAATGAAGAAAATAGAGGATAAATCTTAGCCAAGGATAATTAACTCTAGATCTAAGTGCAGTGGATAAAAGAATGAGATATAGCAAAACTTGTAGCTCGATTTAAGATCATTAAAAGGCATCAAGTATGATGATAAACTTACATCTTTGGAGTATCATTCCGTAATGTAGGAGCAAAGAAGGAGAAGAAGGAATGCTGTTGATAACTATGAGATCTATATTTATTGATTTGGCAATGATAATTACAGAGATTTGTATTTGATATCTAAGCCATTTTCTTGGTCTTCCGTTCTTCTCCCTCTTTGTCTCTGAGAGGAACCCCCCTATATATATTATCAGTATTCCCTTTTGCCAATCGGTCCTTAACCAGAGTGCCCTCGTCTCCTTACTGTCATTCACGTCGCCTCCCTTAAATATCATGATATCCACTTCGCCATACAGGCTTTTCGATGGCTCCATATTCCGTCGTGGCCGAGGTCTTCGTTGTTATTATATCCTGTGGGCACGACCACATCTTAGTCGACCTCCTTCCATTCCTGTTAACATTAATTCATGTGCCGTCAGATTTTGACCCATACAATAGAAAGAGTAAGCACAAAAATAATCAAAGATGTTATGTTCGTCGGAATAAGATAGGACGAAAAACGTTTTAAGTAATTAAAGATTTAGTTGGTTCCATTAATCTAGTGTCACTAGAGAAACGAAATGTTGAACAACTTAATTTCTTGGATTTATATTTGTTTCCTAATTTTTGAAAAAACTTTATCATTGAGCAATGACTAATTATAACAGTATAAACGATTTTTTCCTATTAAAAATTCGTTATGTTAGTTTCTGATTGCACATGATCTCGGTAGCTAATTTTTTACTTCACCCCAGATGTGATCGACTGGTTTAATTCAAGACGGTTGAATATTTATTTAATTAAGACTGATGCAAGTCCAGTTCCCAACAAAGTGGATGCTCTAAAAGAAAAGCATAAATCACTATACAACCTTCCAAAAGTGCAGGGAAAGAGCCAACACGGTATTTTTAACTCTATTTTCTTAGTCTTTTTCCTTAATAAATAAGAATTAAGGGCCTGCATTATAGCATTTCTTGAATTATTTGTCTCATTATTAATACTTGCTAAATTTTATCTTATGGGTAATGTTTTAAACGTCATTCCATCTGCAACATGCCAACATCTAGATCGACTTAATTATTGTTTAAGTGCAAATCAAAGTCCCATGATAGCAAAATTTAATAAGAATTGCATGCCGTGACAACTTGATCCCCACGACGTGTTCCATATATATCAACAAAACATCAAACTTTCGTCATCAAACTCGAATAACTAAACTGTATATTGATTATTTTCGTCATCTTCGAGTAATCATAGTAATTAGTGAATGCCCTCTTACAAGTGATCAATGTTTCATTTTATTAATGAGGTAAAATATTCAAGTTCAACACAATACTATATCACTTCCAAATAATTTGAGGAAAGGAGCCTCGTCAATTAAGTGACGAGGCATTAATTAAGAAGAACTTTGAAGAACCAAGAAAGAATAAACATCTGTGAATTGTTTGTAATCAAAGGTTTCAGGCTACTTCAAGATTTTGGGTTAAATAGTTAGCTTTTTTGCATATAAATGTCGTATCAGTAGCAATCTCTGCTGTCGCCAAAAGCAGAGGCGGCTCAAGCGTATATAGGGCTAAGGCGAAAGTTTAATGTGGGGCCTTATTTTTCATTGTTTGCTAAAAATTTGTCAAGAGCTACTTTTTGAGATTTTATTAAATTTTTAACTTTTCTTTTCTTTTATATTTTTGAATAATCAGATGCATATTTTCTTGTTGACATATTTATATTCTAAAAAAAAAAATTTAAACAATATGTACAGAGTAAAATCAATAAAATAATAAATAACAAATAAAAATAATACAAGAAAGTTAGAATGATATTACCCAATGACTGACTGATTCAAGAAGTTTGAAGACTTTGATTCCAAAATATCTAGTTGTTGGCTTGTTGGAGTCTTGGAGAAAGAAAGAGATCCAGTAAAGAATTAAGAAGATGAGCATGAATCATGAATAAAGAGAAAGGAAGAAGATATGTCTTCTCGAATATGAAGAATGAATGAATACTAGCACTAGAATTGAAATGTTGGCACTAAAAAGTAGAGTTGCCAAATCAAATCAAAGTGATAATTATTTTCCTACTATTTTAAACTTTAATTTATTAATATATCTAAAGTTTTTCTTTATTTTTTATGGAAAAGGTCCAAAAATATCCCTAAACTATGGTATATAGCTCACTTTTGTCCTCCGTTAGTAAACTGGACCAAAAATATCCTCCCCATTAGCACAATGAGCCACTAATGCCCTTCAACCTAACATCCATCCACACAAGCCATTTTAAATCCTACATGGCTTCCACGTAGCTGTGACATGGCAGCCACATAAGCGGGCCTTCTAAACCCGCTGCGAAACCCATTTCCAAACAAAGTTCTTACTGTAACCCCACATCCAAACCCCATTTCATAACAAAAACCCAATTTCATCCTAGACCCAATTTTCCTTCAAAATTTCTGCTCCAATTCCCTTCATAACAATGAAGTCCTTCCTTCTGTTGCACTATATTATTCCTGATTTCCACTTATGTGAATATTAGTGTAGTGCTCGATCCGTGTCCATCTATTGATTTTGCACATGAAGAATTTTTCTTGGTTATACAATTTTACACTCATCTGAGCAAAATTTTGGCTTCTGCACACGTACACACAACATAAAAATGCTCCCCTTTTTATGTGTCTCATGCTACAACCCTCCTCTTCGAGCTGTCAATATAACTTGACCAACAAATTATGAATCTTATGACATCGCTGTTTGGCTCAAAAGTTAACGATGTACTTTGTAAGCGATAAAACAATCAAAAAATAGAGAAGGGGTAAATCGTAATCAAATATAATAAGCCTAGAGATGCAAAGATGATAATATTGTTGTAGATCTAATATTGCAAAGTGACAATGTATGTTGATAAGGTATTTTCGTCAGAAGTAGTGATATAGAGAGAGAAAGACAGAAAATGAGAGAGTTGTATTAGATCAGATGCCCCTTTTTACAATGTGGAGGTCTCCTTTATATAATAGGAGACCTTCCTCGAAAGAATCAAAAAGTTACAGAGATAGGTAACGTCTCCCTAGTATAGACACTGAGTTCTAAACGACGTCGCCTTGGTCCTCACGGCCGAGTGGTACCCGCTACGTTGGTCGGCGTACACTAATTGGGCGTACCCACTGGCGTAGAGATACTGAGGGTCAAATTTGACCCTATACAATCGCATTAAGAGAATACAGAAGTACGCTTGTACCAATTTCAGTCTTCTATTTTTTCAATTGTACATTTTTCAACTAGCTTTAATATATGGATGACTTACTCATTCACTGTAACTAAGTATTGCTGCTGAAGTTGGAGCAGAAATTTTGAAGGGAAATTGGGTTTTTGTTATGAAATGGGGTTTGGATGTGGGGTTACGGCCAGATCTTTGTTTGGCAATGGGTTTCGGAGCGGGTTTAGAAGGCTGCCCGCTTATGTGTCTGCCATGTCACAGCTACGTGGATGCTATGTAGGATTAAAATGACTTGTGTAGAGGGCTGTTAGGTTGAAGGACATTAGTGGTCCATTATGCTAACGGAGAGGATATTTTTGGCCCAGTTTACTAACGGAGGACAAAAGTGAGCTATATACCATAGTTTAAGGATATTTTTGGACCTTTTCCGTTCTTTTTATATGAAAAGTACAAAAGTATTATATACATATATTTTTTTTAAAAAGAAAAACCTATAAAATAACGTACTCCTTATTCCTAAAAAAAATGGGGCCTCCCAAAATTGGGGGCCTAAGACAATTGCCTTACCCTATACTATATTAGAGCGGGCCCTGGCCGAAAGGAGATACAACTGATTTTAAATTAAACAGACGCTGGATCTTTTTAGAAATGAAAAATTATTAAAATCCGCAGTTGCTATACTGCAAAGTAAGACGCCACATGCAAATGAAAGAAAACAGTACACTTAATGAAAAATTCATATGAAAGAGGTTACTATAACTAGGGGTAATAAGGGGTAACATATGTAAATTAACTGCATGTTATTATTGATCCGCCTTTAAAATGTAAGGTTTTTGTTTAATGCAAGGATCTTAAAAAATATAAGTACTTCTAAATATTAGGAGAAGTTGATTTTCTGTAGCGAGAAAGAAGTTGAAAATAGTAACTTTTTTTTGGAAAGTGAAGAAGTTTATTTAATTTTTTCATTTCAAAAGTACACTTAACAATTTGCGAAAATACGTGTAACCCAAGAATTTTCTTTGATGGTCTTATTTGTGGGGTTCCTTTTTTTTTTCTAACTTCTTCACTGTACAAGCTTTCAAATTAAAACTTACAGTCACTAGAAAACAGTAAAACTATTTTTTTGGCTTCTCACTCTTAGGAAAGAAAGCCTGTTGCACTCACTACAGGTGATCTCTTAAAGATCCAACCCTTGATTAGTCTAAAAATACATCAAAAGCAAAAGACCAAAAACAAAAGAAAATCAAACCTAGTAATTATCACCATGTAAGGGAGATTCACTAAAAGTAGGAGGAACCATTACAGAAGAAGAAACCTTAAACCTCTTGCTTCTTGATCCTTCACTGCTACTGCTCATAATATCTGGACTACTAACCCACCCTGCCATTGGATCTGATCCAAGAAAATATTCACTTGCATCTGATGATCCATTATCTGAGTCCAGCCCAAGTTGTCTAAAAGCAGTCCATTCACTGCTACAATCCGACACACTTGAATTTTCCCAAGATGATAGATCATTATTATTGTTATTATCAGTTACCTGTGGAAGTACTCTAATACTTGGCTGCACAACTTTCTCTATTTTTTTCATGTCCATATGCTGACTTTGGTATTGGTGATAATTGTTCTTGAAGTGGAAAATTCTAGCAAATGTGAAATGGTCACTTACTCTATTCTTGGATGATGACAACTTATTTTCTGAGTTCCGAGCCATGATGTTGTGTAAATTCTTGCTTAGTTTAGCTTTTAGCGAAGAAAAACTGAGACCATGTTTGCTATCATTTGATTGCAACATATTTATTGATTGATCATGATCTGAGTTGGGATTTGAGAGAGTAGAAGCAAAATTTGTTCGTGCATTTTCCCCACGTAAGGCTCGAGCAGCTTCATCGTAGGCACGAGCAGCTTCTTCAGGAGTATCATATGTTCCTAGCCATAATCTTACACGTTGAGATGAGTCCTTGATCTCAGCAACCCATCTTCCCGATGGTCTTTGTCTTACACCCACAAATTTTCTTGAAATTGATTTGTTTAGTTGTGGTGATGATTTGGTGGTGTTGGTGTTGGTGTTGGTGGTTTTCATGGTTTCTGTACCAGCCATTATGGCGAAGTTACAAAATAGTATAGATGACAATGAGAAGAAAGTATACTTCTATAGTGAGTAGTATTGTCAATCTGGACTATAAATAAGGGCGCTTTAAACTATTCAGGGCAAGGGCAATACCTAAGGGTGTGATATAACGGTCAATTAAATAATTAAATGATGAGAGATCAATGTTCAAATTCTAATGTAAAAAAAGTAATGTCGAGTGACTTATTCTTATTTGTTTCAGTTTTATTGGATAGAATTATTCTGATACCTATAAGAAATAGTGAATGTTTGATAAAATAGTCAAGGTGGGCACAAGATATAATGACTTATACATTACAATTATTATTTTTATAAAAAGAAAAAAAAAACTTTTGAGGGTCCGAAGGCTAAAGCATATACCCCTTCTCTCAATTATTTGTTTGTTGTTTTGCTATTAGTTTTAGTGATCAATCTTTTGCATTAATGTATATATTATACTTACTGCAGAATTAAGTATCTTGGCTTGACATGGAAAGGCGTAGATACTAAAAACTCTTACCAGCAAGGTCTCTTATATATTAAACTCTTAAATTAAGATGAAGCATATCCATGTAAAACAAGGATGCATTGATAAGTATAAACACCAACTTGACGTGCAATTAGGTATATCAATGGAATGGAAGGTGAAAATAGCACGGGCTAGCCAGTTTTTGGATAGGTAATTGAAAAATAGTCAGCGTTTGCAAAGTCATTGAAAAATAGCTAATATTTTACTGCAACATGAAAAGCTCCAGCATAATATACTGGAGATTGGCGCACATGTGTATGAACTTCCAACATATTATGCTGGAACTCCAACACGGAAAGTTCTAGCATAATATACTGGAGATTGGAGCATCTGTGTATGAACTTCCAGCTTATTATGCTGGACCAGTATATTATGCTGGAACTCCAGTAAATTATGCTGGAATATTTTTCGGATTTTGAACAGTGGTTTCGTTCATATTTATCTTTACGTGAAAAGTGGTTAAATTTTGATTACTTTTAAAATTGTGGCTATTTTTCAACTACCACTTATAAATCTAGCTATTTTTGAATTTCACCCCAATGGAAGTGGCTGAGCTAAATAAACTATAGTATAACCTTAAACGGCCCAGATGTAGGGTAAACAAAGGGGGATATAAAGGGGAGAAATTCAAAAATAGCCAGATTTACAAGTGATCATTCAAAAATAGCCACAGTTTCAAAAGTAATCGAAATTTAGCCACTTTTCATGTAAAGATAAATCTGAACGAAAACACTGTTCAAAATCCGGAAAATACTCCAGCATAATATACTGGAGTTCCAGCATAAGTATACTGGAACTCCAGTATATTGTAATGGAGTTCCAGCATAAGTATACTGGAACTCCAGCATAATATACGGGAGCTCCAGTATAATATACCGGTCCAATATAATATGTTGGAAGTTCATACACAGGTGCTTCAATTTTCAGTATATTATGCTGGAATTTTTCGGGTGTTGGAGTTCCAGCATAATATGCTGGAAGTTCATACACAGGTGCACCGATCTCCAGTATATTTATGCTGGACCGGTCTCTGTTGCAGCAAAATAGTGGCTATTTTTTAACGGCTTTGTAAACGCTGACTATTTTTGAATGACCATTCCGAAAACTGGCTAACCCGTGCTATTTTTACAATATAAAGTGATAATGATGCAACTTGCTTATCATACTTGGAACTGAAATATTATTCCTAGCTAGCTAGCTTCCAGACAGCAGTACTTATTACCTTTCTGTTGTCTTCTTTCGACGGTGTTTCTCTTAGTTTCTTTAATTAATAACGCCTGATGGTGTTTAATTTGGAATTGTAGCATCCTAAAGGACCTAACCAATATCCATCAAATAGGCCTGTGTGTACCTGATCACGCCCAACTCTAGTCCTAAAAAGGATAAGCGGTCGCTGCAAATATAATCCGGTTTACAAGTCCGGAGTCGAATCCCACAGAGAACTAAGGCTTAGCTATAGTTGTTCAATATCACCAAGAACACAAGCTTGAACAATTCCTAACTTATAGATATTAAGATTCTTATGTTTAACTAACTAACTAACAAATTAAAATAATAAATTAACACTAAAGATACTACAAGTTGGAGAAAAGATTAAGGAGGTCTAGAGTTATGATTTCCCCAATTGTCGGAATCCTTCCTGCTACGTTTTCTATAAATTCGCCTAAGTATTCTCTACCGGTCATGAGCGCTCTGATTGTCGTAACTCTCTCCCGAGTAATTACCACAATTTACTAGACGCACTCTCCCGAGTTACGCTAGCTGGCTTTGTTTATTACAGCTTACTTTAGATTGCACCCAAGGCTTCGTTATCCCTAATCCCGCCTTTAAACCCGCAGTTATAGATCCCTCTTATACTTTGGGAGTGATGTTGTTCAACAACTACCTAAATATGCACTCTCTCCCAAGCAATACATACTAAATAGGCACAGCTAATTGAGAGCTATTCAACCAACCACAATATAAACGTAGTTGAACAAATAGAAAAAATACTACGGCTCAATTATATAAAAATAACAAGAATTTATCCTACAAAAGGTTCTATCAAAACCCTAGATAACAAATTAGTTATTCATAATAGTATGTAAAACTACAATACTAAAAATCATAACCAATAATGAAAAATAGGAAGAGGAAGGAAAAACTCGTTGAAGAATTCTCCGCCTTGCTCCTAGCGTGTTCTTGCCTCCAGGGGTGTTGTCTAACCCTAAAGTAGTGTCTCCTCGGTCTAAAATTATGTCAAAAGTGTGTCCAACCTCTCAAAATAGTGTTTTTACATGTATTTATACCAAGTAGGGTCGGGCCCAGATGAAAAAAACTCATTCCTGCGCGAACTAGGACTTAGCTCTGTAAAAATTGAACAGCCGCGCCGCACCATGTGCCGCACCCTGCGGCGCGCTAGTGGAGATTATCAGCAGCCTCAACTTTTCGCATCAGGCAGCATTTTACACTGCTGCGCCGTGCCTTGCGGCGCACCATGCGGCGCGGCAGTGTAATTTTCTCAGAGTGAACCTATTTCGTCCTCTTTTAACATCCGGACTTGGTACACGACCTCCAAACACAATCCCGACTTAATTCCTTGGGCTTTTACTCAGACTTCAAAGCTCCAAATCACTTGAATTCATTCCATAATATCCACATAGCTCGGAATCACTCCTACAAGGCATAAAACACATATTTAGTGCAAAACACTAGCGATTAAAGCTCAAACTCAATTAAAGTGCAGTAAATTAGAGTGTAACAAGCGACTAAAATACGCAATTATAGCCTATCATCAACACCCCACACTTAAATCATTGCTCGTCTTCGAGCGATCAAACTACACTTTTTCATAGACACGACCTTTTTAAACAATTCTCCTAACTCATCACACCAAGAGTATTTAAAATAGACTAAGCACAAAAGCGTAACATCTTCACCTCAAGATTTGACTCACAAGTACCATGCATTATTCACAACTCACCTACTTACTCTAACATAGAGGTCACTGACATTACCTTTCCTTCATGAATCAAGTGCCCTCACACAACAAAAGAGAGTAGTTCCACACAATAAAATTTAAGAACACTTAGGAACTCAAGATAGAAAGAATTCACTCACTCTCAGAAATAACATTCATATGCCACAAAAGATGCACCATAAGCTTGCCCATAGTGTACTACTCCACTAATCGAGCTCATTCATCTAGGATCAATTAGGACTTATTTGGTTGTAATGTAGGCTACGGAACGGGTAGGATATATTTAGATATAAGAGTGACTACACCTCCCTAAGCACTTTAATACATATACTTTAACATTCAAACCCCATACTTATGTCAAACCAAACTCCACCTTCACATCAATGTATATTACCCCATACTTCTTTAAGCACAATTACAGCAAGAGTCACCACTTATTAAAGAAATACTTTTTCTTTTTTTCACAGCAATACAACTATATTTTTTTTTTCAATTCAAGTGGCTCTTACTTGTTCAAAACAGTGCACCTTTCTCCTGATTTCATTAATTCTACTCAAAAGCGAAACCAACCACCCCACACTTTAACTTTTACATAAATCATCACAATTCAAGTGCTTATGAGAGGTTAAAAGGTTCAAATAGATAGTCCATTCAAACAA